CATTTTCTCAGAGCTGAAAATTTCTTGAAGAAAAAAAAAATTTTTATTTTCTCATGAAATGATAGAGAATCTTTTCTCGATCATAATGACACCAAAAGTATGAAATTTGATGGAAAACTTACGGAATTATGCTCTTGTGAAGTTAGCGGTCTCAATGATGCTTAACGCATCGGCGATTTCGCCCACTTTGACCCCTATTATCAGTCAATTACAATGTACCAGTCGACAAAAATCATACCTAGCGCTAGAACTCCATTTTTGTCTATCGAATGAGAACAAGAAACCACTCATTTACCAATAACGTGGTCAGAAATTGGCAATTTTGCCAATTTCACACAAATTTCAAAAGATGCCAATTTCCAAATAGGGTCCAGAATAAACAAGACAGACATTCCTGGCATTAAAATAACATTTCCTCAGTTGATTACTCATGTCCCCAGGCCTCTGCTACATTTCTTTTGTTTTCCACTTCGAATTTTTATTCTCACAAAGAATAGTAGATTTATGTTATGCAGACTACTGCATTCGTGTAGAAATGGTATAAATAATATCAATGCACTTGTGAAAGAATATTAGACTCACCAGTTGTCGTGTATTGGACACATGGCATGATTTGTTTACCTTTGAACTTTGGTAAAAATCGAACATTTCTGCTACTTTGAGCTCAATTTCAAGGTACTTTTCATTGTGAAACCAATCAAAATCATCTCAATTTCCATAATATGGCTTCCATTCTATAAAATGAGACCAGAAAAACTAGAACACAACCATAAATAGCATACAAAAATACACTGCAAAGTCGCTGTTTTAAACCAAAAACACGGTCGGAGTTTTTTTTTCTCATTATGCACCGTGTGCTGCAGGATTTTTTTTAAACTGCGCACACTGACCACATAGACCCATTCTTTCATATGTAGGCCTACCAGCTTTCTCTCACTAGATTTGAAGGTGCTAGAATTTATGCGTACTAGTACAGCACCAACCCTGGCATGCAAGCCGTACTAGTACAACACCAACCCTGAAAGGGTTAATAAAACATATCATACTAGCTTATACAAAAACAGCAAATAATTACTAAAATGTTTCATCCTAAATACAGTGGACCCCCGCCTTACGATATTAATCCGTTCCTGAGACCTCATCGTAAGCCGAAATTATCGTAAGGCGAATTAATTTTCCCCATAAGAAATAATGGAAATCAAATTAATCCGTGCAAGACACCCCAAGTATGAAAAAAAAAAATTTTTCACATGAAATACAGTGGACCCCCGCCTTACGATGGAATTGCGTTACGTTAAATCCGCCATACAATACATTTCAATGCAAAAATTTTGCCTCGCCTCATGCTAAAAAACTCGCCTCTCGTGATTCGTCCGGGACGCGTCCCACGCGTGGCCTCAGCTGCCCCGTGCGTGCCAGTGTTTACAAGCCAGCCAGTGCGTCGCATCCACACATACATTCGGTACATTTCATATTATCACAATGTTTTTAGTGATTGTAGCTGCAAAATAGCTCACCATGGGCCCCAAGAAAGCTTCTAGTGCCAACCCTGTGGGAAAAAGGGTGAAAATTACTATGGAAATGATGAAAGAAATAATTGCTAAGTACGAAAGTGGAGTGTGTGTCTCGGAGCTGGCCAGGCTGTATACCAAACCCCAATCAACCATCGCTACTATCGTGGCCAACAAAACGGCAATCAAGGAAGCTGTTCTTGCAGAAGGTGCAAGTTTGTTTTCAAAACAGAGATCGCAAAGTGATAAAAGATGTTGAGAGACTGTTACTGGTGTGGATAAACGAAAAACAGATAGAAGGATATAGCATCTCTCAAGCAATCATATATGAAAAGGCTAGGAAGTTGCATGAGGATTTAATTAGAAAAATGCCTGCAACTAGTGGTGATGTGAGTGAATTTAAGGCCAGCAAAGGTTGTTTTGAGAGATTTAAGAATTGTAGTGGCATACAAAGTGTGATAAGGCATGGTGAGGCTGCCAGTTCGGACCAAAAAGCGGCTGAAAAATTTGTGAAGGAATTCAAGGATTACATAGACAGAGAAGAACTGCAACCTGAACAAGTGTTTAATTGTGACAAAACAGGTCTGTTTTGGAAGAAAATGCCAAGCAGGACCTACATTACTCAGAAGGCAAAGGCACTCCCAGGACATAAGCCTATAAAAGACAGACTTACTCTTCTGATGTGTGCTAATGCTAGTGGTGACTGCAAAGTGAAGCCTTTATTGGTGTATCACTCTGAAACTCCCAGAGCGTTCAGGCAAAACAATGTCGTCAAGGCTAATTTGTGTGTGATGTGGAGGGCAAGCAGTAAGGCATGGGTCACTAGGGACCTTTTCTATGACAGGTTACACCATGCATTTGTCCCAAATGTGAAAAATTATCTAATGGAAAAGATATTGGACCATAAGTGCCTCCTGGTATTAGACAATGCTCCTGGTCATCCTTTAGACTTGGCAGAGTGACTTTCTAGGGACATGAGCTTCATTAAGGTCAAGTTTTTGCCTCCTAATACCACTACTCTCCTGCAGCCCATAGACCAGCAGGTTATTTCAAACTTCAAAAAACTCTACACAAAAGCTATGTTTCAAAAGTGCTTTGAAGTGACCTCAGACACTCGATTGACTAAGAAAGTTTTGGAAAGATCACTTTAGCATCCTTAATTGCATAAACCTTATAGGTAAGGCTTGGGAGGGAGTGACTAAGAAGACCTCGAACTCTGCTTGGAAGAAACTGTGGCCACATTGTGTAAAAGAAAAGGATTTTGAAGGGTTTGGGGCTAACCCTCAGGAGCCTATGCCAGTTGTGGAATCTATTGTGGCATTGGGAAAGTCCATGGGGTTGGAGGTTAGTGGGGAGGATGTGGAAGAGTTGGTGGAGGAGGACAATGAAGAACTAACCATTGAAGAGCTGCAAGATCATCTTCAACAGCAAGAGGCCAGACCTGAGGAAACTGCTTCAAGGAGGGGAGAGAGAAATTGAGGAAGTTGCCTACTTCAAAGATTAAGGAAATGTGTGTAAAGTGGGTTGAGCTGTAAACCTTTGCGGATGAAAATCACCCTGACACAGCTACTGCAAGCTGTGCTGGTGACTATTACAATGACACTGTTATGGCCCATTTTAGGAAAGTCTTAAAGGAACGGGAGGTACAGACCTCTATGGACAGATTTGTTGTGCGACAGAGGTCCAATGACTCTCAAGCTGGTCCTAGTGGCATTAAAAGAAGGGAAGTAACCCCAGAAAAGGACTTGATACCTCAAGTCCTAATGGAAGGGGATTCCCCTTCTGAACAATAACAACTTCCACACACTCCCCTCCTCCCACCCCATCAATCATCACCAGATCTTCAATAAAGGTAAGTGTCATGTATTCTATTCTTAGAGTAGTAATTGTGCATGTCTTCTTCAGTTTGTGTGTATTAAAATTAATATTTCATGTGGTAAAATTTTTTTTTTTTCATAGTTTGGGGTGTCAGGAACAGATTAATTTGATTTCCATTACTTCTTATGGGGAAAATTAATTCGCCTTACAATAATTTCGGCTTACGATGAGCTCTCAGGAACGGATTAATATCGTAAGGTGGGGGTCCATTGTATTAATTTTAATACACACAAACTGAAGAAGACATGCACAATTACTACTCTACTAAGAATAGAATACATGACACTTACCTTTATTGAAGATCTGGTGATGATTGATGGGATGGGAGAGGGGGAGTGTGTGAAGTTATTGTTTAGAAGGGAAATCCCCTTTCATTCGGACTTGAGGTATCAAGTCCTTTTCCGAGAGTACTTCCCTTCTTCTTTTAATGCCACTAGGACCAGCTTGAGAGTCGCTGGACCTCTGTCGCACAACAAATCTGTCCATAGAGGTCTGTACCTCCCGTTCCTTTAAGATTTGCCTAAAATGGGTCACAACACTGTCATTGTAATAGTCACCGGCACGGCTTGCAATAGCTGTGTTAGGGTGATTTTCATCCAAAAAGGTTTGCACTTCAACCCACTTTGCACACATTTCCTTAATCTTTGAAGTAGGTACAATGGATTCCACAACTGGCAAAGGCTTCTCAGGGTTAGCCCAAACCCTTCAAAATCTTTCTTAATTTCCATAATAATTCTCACCCTTTTTACCACAGGGTTGGCATTAGAAACTTTCTTGGGGCCCATGGTGACTTATTTTGCAGTTACAAGCACAAATAATGCTGGGATAAGGTGAAATGTACCAAATGTATGCGTGGATGCGACCGCACTGGCCGGCTTGTAAACACTGGCACCCACGGGGCAGCTGAGGCCACACGTGGGATGCGTCCTGGACGAATCACGTAAGGCGAGTCTTTTATCGTGAGGCAAGGCAAAATTTTTGCATTCAAATGCTTCGTATGGTGGATTTAACGTAACACGATGCGTTCGTAAGGCGGGGGTCCACTGTATATCTATTAACGGAATTTTATTAAAAAAAAAAAATCAACTTACTATAATGTTCAATAAAAATACTAGATGATTAATGATACATTTGATTTAACCTACCTAGCATTGATTTTTTCACAAGCTCATTTTTAAAGGTTGCGCCATTTTTCTAGAACTGACCTCAGAAAATTTTTCAAAACCTTTCCTATTACTAGACTCCTAAAACAGTACTGTGCTTTCTTTCCTCAAAATCTTGTAACAGTGCATTTAATATTATGGTAAATATCATTTATTCCAATTCCTAGGTGCATAGGGTTGGATGAGCATGATACAAACAACCCACATCTTATGAAGCCTAATACTTTTAATTCAGGTGTAAATAACTTTACGTTAATAATTATTTTGTGAATAGTGCTGCACGTTTCCAACAACTAAATCTCTTGCACTCAAATTATAATTACTACTGCATTCAGGGGGAGCACTAAACCTACAGGGATAATAAAGGTTCAATACAAAGAAAGGAAGGATATACACACCAACATCCAGTACATTTCAAATTGTACCTGAAAAATATAGTCCTACTCACCCATCAAAGCTGCACCAAAGCCTGCATCTTCATCAACCTCATTCTTTTTCTTCTTTTTCTTGCTGTCTTTTCTATCACCCTCTGAGTCCTCTGGCTCTTCATGGTTTTTTCTCATATCTAATTCTTTCCTATGCTTAATTTTTTTACTACTACTACTGCTACTAGCACTGTCTTTGTGTTTATCTCTATATTTTTCCTCTTTCTGCTTTTCTTTTATTTTACAGCTGTCTTTTTCTCTACTACTTTCCCTCTCTCTGCTACTTTCACTTATCTTATTTTCTCTTATAATATCTTTGTCTCTACCCGAACTTTCTTCCTTTCTGTGACTACTGTTGCCTTTTTCATTTTTATCTTTCCGCTTTTCATCATTTCTTTTGTCACATTCTCTGGAATCACGTTTTGTATCAACAGCTCGCCTCTCAACCTCAGGAGTGCTGAAACCATTGATAATTCCCTTCTCCTCCACCTCTGCATTTGACCTCACCCTATATTCTTCATCACTTTGTTTACCCACTCTGTGCTTTTCACTGTGCCGGTCTTTATCTCTATGTTTCTCCTTATGTGATTTCACTTTCTCCTTTTCCCCTTTTCTCTCCTCTCTGTCTCTATGCTTATCCTTATGCTTTTCTTTGTGTTCCTTTTTTCTCCCATCATGACTACCTGAAGAATCTTTATGTTTGTCTTTCTCTCTGTCTTTATGTCTCTCCTTTTCTTTGTATCTTTCTTTATCATCTCTGCTGCTCTTTTTAGAGGAACTTTTATTCCTGCTTCCATTCTTTCTGTCAGAGGACTCACATGGTGAGGTTTCCTTCCAAACTGAACCTGAGACAGCTTTCGGGCTTCCTAAGCTAGAACTGGATGGAACATATTCAGCAGGCACAGATGTGCACATGTGCATCTGGTAATCTCTTTGTGATGTCTTAGGATTATATTTTGCTGGAAATTCCACCGAACCCTCATCATTCGAATCCACCTCGCAGTTAGTGTATCCACCATCACTGTTCCTTTCTGAGGAACGATCTGGATGCCTGTATACATCACCATCAGCCTCATCTTCAAACTCCAGAGTTTTATGAGCCTCATCTTCTATTTGTAATCGATCTTCCTCCTCATCATCCTCATCAATATTGTCATTTTCTTTGTCTATTTCACGTGCTCCATTACCCTGCATAAATGCAAACCATTAGAATTGTAAAGCTACTTTTCAAATTACAGAGTACTGTAACTATAATAAAGTAAAACAATGTACACCAAGTCAAAGCTAAATCAATTAGGGCAAATTCATGAAAAATGATAACAGCTATCAAATTTCATCAGCAATGCACAGTACACTATAGAGAGAAAAATGAAATTCCTTAAAGGGATAATAACTACACAAGGTTTATTTACCCATGTTACAAACAATATATCTTCTTCTTTCAACAAACTGGCTGTATCCAACCGAAGCAGGGTGGCCCAAAAAGAAAAAACAAGTTTCTCTTTTTAACATTAGTAATGTATACAGGAGAAAGGGTTACTAGCCCTTTGCTCCAGACATTTTAGTCGCCTTTCACGACATGCATGGCTTATGGAGGAAGAATTCTGTTCCATTTCCCCATGGAGATAAGAAATAAACAAGAATAAGAACTAATAAGAAAATAGAAGAAAACCCAGAGGGGTGTGTATATATGTATATGCTTGTACATGCATGTGTAGTGTGACCTAAGTGTAAGTAGAAGTAGCAAGATGTACCTGAAATCTTGCATGTACACGAGACAGAAAAAGACACCAGCAATCCTACCATCGTGTAAGACAATTATAGTCTTTCGTTTTACACTCACCTGACAGGACGGTAGTACCTCCCTGGGCAGTAACTGTCTACCCACCTAATACCTAGGAAATTTTTTTTTTTTCAACAAACCGGCCATATCCCACCAAGGCAGGGTGGCCCAAAAAGAAAAACCAAAGTTTCTCTTTTTAAATTTAGTAATTTACACAGGAGAAGAGGATACTAGGCCCTTGCTCCCAGCATTTTCAGTCGCCTCGTACAACACGCATGGCTTATGGAGGAAGAATTCTGTTCCACTTCCCCATGGAGATAAGAGGAAATAAACAAGAACTAGAAAGAAAATAGAAGAACAGCCAAAGGGGGTGTGCATATATATGCTTGTACATGTATGTGTAGTGTGACCTAAGTGTAAGCAGAAGAAGCAAGACATACCTGAAATCTTGCATGTTTATGAGAAAGAAAAATGGACGCCAGCAATCCTACCATCATTTAAAACAATTACAGGCTTTCGTTTTACACTCACGTGGCAGGACGGTAGTACCTCCCAGGGTGGAATCTGTCTACCCACCTACTACCTAGGAAACAATATCTTCTTCTTTCAACGTACCAGCCGTATCCCACCAAGGTGGGGTGGCCCAAAAGGAAAAACGAAAGTTTCTCCTTTCAAATTTAGTAATATATACAGGAGAAGGGGTTACTAGCCCGTTGCTCCCGGAATTTTAGTCGCCTCTTACGACACGCATGGCTTACGGAGAAAGAATTCTGTTCCACTTCCCCATGGAGATAAGAGGAAATAAACAAGAATAAGAACTAGGTTGGAAGGAAGGGGTAAGGGAGGTTTTGTGGGTGAGGGGCTTGGACTTCCAGCAGGCGTGCGTGAGCATGTTCGATAGGAGTGAATGGAGACGAATGGTACTTGGGACCTGACGATCTGTTGGAGTGTGAGCAGGGTAATATTTAGTGAAGGGATTCAGGGAAACCGGTTATTTTTTATATAGCCGGACTTGAGTCCTGGAAATGGGAAGTACAATGCCTGCACTCTAAAGGAGGGGTTCGGGATATTGACAGTTTGGAGGGATATGTTGTGTATCTTTATACGTATATGCTTCTAAGCTGTTGTGTTCTGAGCACCTCTGCAAAAACAGTGATTATGTGTGAGTGAGGTGAAAGAGTTGAATGATGATGAAAGTATTTTCTTTTTGGGGATTTTCTTTCTTTTTGGGTCACCCTGCCTCGGTGGGAGATGGACAACTTGTTAAAAAAAAAAAGGAACTAGAAAGAAAATAGAAGAAAACCCAAAAGGGTATGTATATATATATTTGCTTGTACATGTATGTGTAGTGTGACCTAAGTTTAAGTAGAAGTAGCAAGATGTACTGAAATCTTGCATGTATACGAGACAGAAAAAGACACCAGCAATCCTACCATCGTGTAAGATAATTATAGGCTTTCATTTTACACTCACCTGACAGGACGGTAGTACCTCCCTGGACAGTAGCTGTCTACCCACCTACTACCTAGGAAACAATGTTTTTTTTTTTTTCAACAAACTGGCCATATCCCATCAAGGCAGGGTGGCCCAAAAAGAAAAACCAAAGTTTCTCTTTTTAAATTTAGTAATTTACACAGGAGAAGGGGATACTGGGCCCTTGCTCCTGGCATTTTAGTCGTCTTGTACAACACCCATGGCTTATGGAGGAAGAAGTCTGTTCCACTTCCCCATGGAGATAAGAGGAAATAAACAAGAACGAGAAAGAAAATAGAAGAAAACCCAGAAGGGTATGTAATATATATATGCTTGTACATGTATGTGTAGTGTGACCTAAGTGTAAGTAGAAATAGCAAGATGTACCTGAAATCTTGCATGTTTATGAGACAGAAAAAAGACACCACCAATCCTACCATCATGTAAAACAATTACAGGCTTTCGTTTTACACTCACGTGGCAGGACGGTAGTACCTCCCTGGGGAGAAGCTGTCTACCCACCTACTACCTAGGAAGCAATATATATACATATAATAAATATGGAACATATTATTAGCACAGGAAAAATTCTACAAAATATTTTACTGAATTAATTTTATATAACAATGAATTTAAAATTTTCTCCTTTGTCCTTTTAGTAATTCATACTACTACAAGAGAAGGCAGCAACCACCCTAGGAGGTACTACTATCCTATCAAATGTGTGTGAAATAGAAACCTGTAGTTGTTTTACACAATGTGAGGACTGCTGGTGTCTTTTTTCTCCGCTTCATTAATGTTTAAGATAACACGTACATCTTGCTACTTCTTCTTAAACTTAGGTCATACTACACATAAATGTACATGTATGCATGCACATTCATCTCAATTTTCTATTTTTCTTAATAATTCTTGTTTGTATTTATTCTCTCTCATTTCCATAGGAAAGTGGAAAAGAATCCTTCTGTAAACCACTGCATGTCATAAGAGGTGACAAAGTCTGGGAGCAAGGGGCTGGTATGCCCTTCTCCTGCATAAATTACTAAATGTAAAAAGAGGAAAACTTTATAAAGCTGGGACGTTTGAATGTGTGGATATAGTGCAGGTAAAAAAGAGACGAGTGTCAACGTAATGAATAAAAAGAAGCTGGATGTCCCAGCTCTAATTGATATGAAGCTGAATAGTGTAGGAGAGTTTCAATGGGTGTAATAAAGAAGATTAGGTCTAGTGTATCTGAGAGAGTTAGAGCAAAGGAATGATCACTAAAGGAAGGAAAAGAGGGAATGTAAATGCATGAATTTAAGGATTATGTGGATTAAAATAAGTTGTATGCAAAACATGGGTCACAATAAGTGTTTATGCACCTGGAGAAGAGACGTGTGTAGAGGAGAGAGAGATTCTGGGAGAAGTTAAGCAACTCTTTAGGGAGTTTTAACCCTTTAAGGGTCCAGACCCCCCGATAAGAAACCTGTTCTCGAGGTAAAACAAAAAACTAATGAAATGGTAGAGAATCTTTTTCCAAAGGTAATGACACCAAAAGTACGAAATTTGATGGAAATCTTAAGGAATTACACTTTCGCAAAATTAGTGGTCTCAGCAATATTTCTGCACTAGTGATTTCGCCAAATGAATCCTATTTTAAGCTAATTCCATTTTTCCAGTTAATCAAACTCTTAGCTATTTCACTATGCCTTCCATTCTATTGACTGAGCAAAGAAACCACCTATTTGACTATTTCAAGTACCCAATAGAGATCAGAAATTGGTAATTTGGCCAATTTCACACAAAATTTAAAAAATGCCAATATCAAAATAGGGTCCAGAATAAACAATGAAGACATTCCTGGCACTAAAACAACATTTCCTCTGTTCATCAGTCATGTCCCCAGAAATCTCCAATATTAAATTTGCTTTCCATTGGGAATTTTTATTCACAAAAAAAAAAAAAAAAATAGATTTACTGTTAAGCAGGCTACTGTATTACTGTAATAATTGTATAAATAATCTCAGTGTATTTATGAATGTGTATTAGACAGGCCAGCTGGACACACATTAGAGGAGTGGCATGATTAGTGTCCTCTGAAATAGTGACAAATACAGCTTCTCCTCACTTAGCGAAGTACTCGTTTACCGACGCCTCGGATTTACGATGGGCAATCTGACCAGTATTCATACCTGAATAATGTATATTAGAGCAGATTTCATCTACTCTGTTCATTTCAATATACAGTACACTACTCTATAAACATTTAAAAATATACCAGAAATGTTATAAATGGTGCAAAGTTGACATTAAAACAATATCAAAGATGGTTGACACAAACTCACTACCATTATAGTATGCTCTTCACTTAGTGACAAATTTGGAACTCCGTCGTTAAGTGAGGAGAGGCTGTATTGAATATTTCTGTTACTTTGAGCTCAATTTCAAGCTACTTCCAGTCCTGAAACAAATCAAATCATTCCTATTTCTTGAATATATCTTCCGTTTTACCAAATGATGCCAAGAAAGTGAGAATAAAGCCATAAAAACCATCCAAAAATACACTACAGCCCCTATTTTAAACCATACACTCAGTGAGTTTTGTTTTCCCATCATACACTACATGTGGCAGGATTTATTTTATATATGTAGTGCACACTCACCACATAGACCCATTCTCTCATACCTTTGCCAGCTTACCTGAGTGAGCTGAGTTCATGCCATAGTTCTACGGCAGGCATATGTGAGCATATTAGATATGAGTGAATAATGGCAAGTAGTTTTTATGACGATGTGATACTAAAGTGTGAACAAGGTAACTATTACGAAGGGATACTGGGAAACTAGTTAGCCTGACTAGTTCTGGAGGTGGGATGTACAGTGCCTGCACTATGAAGGAGGGGTGGGGATATTTGCAGTCTGGAGGGGCAAGACAGTGATGGAGTGAGTG